TTTAATGAGTCACAACAGCCAATTTTGTACATAAAGTACAGGTAATTTTCAGGGTCTTTTTTTTAAGTATTAATAATTCATAATCCTCTGTTTTTTGTTTTTTTTTTATTTCAGCATATTATGGGGGTACAGATGTTTAGGTTACGTATGTTGCCCTTGCCCCCCATAATCCTCTGTTTTTGTCCCCATCTCCATAATTTCTCCTCAGTTTAACCGGAAGAGATATCTGCAGTATACCAAAACAACAAGCTATAAAGTATAAAACAAAAACCAAAAATTAGCCATTACTTTGTGTATCACAGAAAAAGTAAAGTCTAGAATGCTGGGTACTATATTTTCAATGAGATATGGTATGGTCAAACTGCAACATCTTTTAAAAAGGAATGATGAGGACAGTGAAGGGACCAGAGCATGCCATATGAGGAACTTCAAAGATGCTAAGGATGATGGGAAAGGGAAAACGTAAGGCAAAATGATAACTGAAAGACACTTTTTTCCTACAGCTCCATAGCATAGAACTATCAATGGACAGAAATAACAAGGAGGCAGATTTTGGCTTAAGATTTTTACCAAATTATTTCTACAGGTTTATTACAAATATTGCAAATACCAAAAAACACATTTTAATACCAAAAGCAAAACCTTAGCCCTGTTGCATATATTGTGCCATCAACCCATGAAGAACAAGGAGTGATAAAGAAGGTAGCAGGCTACCTTTCCAGTACACTGCAGGTGCTGTCCTGGCACGGAGAGGGAGGTCACAAACATGGTAAAGCAGCGAAGCAAGAATACAGTGCCCATCAGACTACAGAGCCTTCGCAGGAGTATTGACCTGTGAACACAGCGACCAAAAAGAGGGAAAGATCAGAAGAAAACAAACCAAAAAGCTCAGGCAACAAATGTTTACTTAAAGGAAGAGCAAGCAAAAAAAACTCAGTAGACTTTTTGAAGAGGATGGAAATCTTAGAGACCATGTGAAGCATCACTGTCCAATAGAACTCCCTGCAATCATGCAAATGTTCTATACACTGTCCAATAAGCTATCTACATGTGGCTCTTGAGCACATGAAATGTGACTAGTATGACTGAGAAATCGAATTTTAAATTTTATTTTAGTTAATTTAAATGGCCACATGTGGCTAGTGTCTGCCACATTGAACAGTGCAAACCTAAGGTCAGATTCTAAGAGCATCATTTCAGTGATAAGAACATACGGCTAAGAGAAAATAAAAGAGTTATACAAGATAGAAGACTAGTAAGCCTGGAGTTAGTCCTGCTACTCATAAATCGCTCATAAATTATTTATTTATAAAAGGTAAAGTTAAACACCTGTGACTCTAGGGTTTTTTTGCTCATTAATAATGCTGGAAATTAGTTAATGATAGTAGCTATCTAATATTCCTTGCAACTTCTCCTAACTTAAACTTAAGCTACAAAATACAAAGTTTTTAATAAACATTAAGTTTCATATTAAATATATATCAAACAAAATTTTTGAATAACTGTCATTTGGGTAATCATGAACTGCATTGTGACATCACTTGTACTGTTATATTATTTCTTTAAATGTCTTAAACCAAAACAGACTAAGATTCTGTTTTGACATGGTCCATGCTTTATACATTATCTAAATGCTCCTCCCTCCCTCAAAAAAAAAAGCACTGAACACAAGGCTGGGTATGTTTCAAACTTTAGTTGCACACCTGGAACAGACCTTAGGAACTGCATTTTAACAAGCACCCAGGTGATTCTAAAGAAAGTGGTACAAACATTTTGAGAAACACTTTCTTTGACTAAGTAAACATTAACAGTTGCATTCAACTGGCCACTGCTATGCTTTACTAAACCTGCCAAGGTTTCCTATAAGGTAAAAGACTGTTTTGAATAATAGATATATTCAAATCCATGGGATTTTTGTGAGGCAAAATTAACCAGAAAGCAACAGTAAGATACATGTTTTTAAACCATCTCTGGTTTTAAGCAACCCAGAATTAAAAATATTGCTGTGAAACAGGACAAAATGGGAGAGAATGAGGTGCAATATGGCCTTAAAAGTGTGACAAGAATAACAATCATCAACCTTTCTTTTCACCTTCAAAGCACTGAAATAACTGCTGCTTAGGACCTAAAGCCCATCACTGTGGTTTACCTCAAGCACTTCCTAGCAAGGACAAAGGATCAAAAACTCAAGAAAGAGCCCTTATTCTTCTCCAGTGTTGCAAAGACAATGGACAGCAGATATCTACAAATTTTATCTTTAAATTTTTTCCTCACTATGCCTATTTTTTACTTAAATCAAGTAATTTCCCCGATCAAACTAGGAAAGGAGCTCCCTCTTACGCTTTTTTTTTTAATTAAAAAAATTCTTCCCTTTATATTTTTGGTGAAAGTGCTAAGAAGCACTTTCCCTATTTAGCAACATCCTATTCCACCTGAAGTGAACCACATGGACAGGTGTGCATGTTGTACAAAATAATCTCTTTTTTAATGGGCCTCCTCCAAGTAGAGAACAATTTCTTCCATCTAAACACTTGACCAAAGACTGTCCTTAGAGGAGTTTCTATCCTTCTATAGGAAGTGACACTTCCAGTTTGTTTCTAAAGAGAGATAAGGTCGGACTGGCAATGGCTGGCCCATGGCTGATCACCCGCATCTCTGATCTTTCCCTACAAAATGCATTCAGAGTATTACTAAACATGTAGGTATTACCCTAGGCTGACTCTTTTATTGATCAAACCCAAAACATTTTCCTTTGTTAATAACTATAATGTCACACTGACCAGAGAAAGAAATTAACAAGGAAACTGCAAAGGGAGAGACAAGGTTTGATGATCTTGACATAAGAAAGTCAAAACTTTTTCAGTCTTTTAATGGAATAGGTGAGGTACCTGTGCTTGTGAAGAAGAAGAACCAGGAGCCAAATATAGCAAAGAATCATGCCACATACTTCTGTCATGGCAAAGGCCCATGGGATTCTAGGAACGCTGGAACAGAAAAAAATTTGTTTTTGAACTGAAGAGAGATAGATGCATGGAAATGACACTACCCTTTTCAGTAAGATGCTGTTCTAATAATGACCTTAACATTGCTTTATATAACTTTTACCTTTTCTTGAAGATAATACCCGGACAACCTGGAGAAAAAATTTGTTTCACAAAGTACCCCATTTGTCAGAACCTGTTTATTGTCTGTGATTCTCAGTCATGGTTCTCTGCAAAGAAGTATTATAATAACCTTTTTCTCCCTTCCTATAGCACAGCAGACCCTAGATACAGGAATGCCTACAAAAGACAGTGAGGGAAAGGTCCACTTCTTGTATGATGTGCTAATGTCAGAACCCAGACAATCAGAATTTGAATGTGACTTATTTTTTAAAAAATATATTTGGTTTTGTTTTAGAAGCAGTAGAGTTTTTGGTTTTTTGTTTTACTTCTTTCTCTATGTCCTCCTTTGTTTTCTAACCCTGTTTTTTTCTATCTTTTCCATTTGTTCCTCTTTTCTCCTCACCAAATTCACTGCTCCTATGATTATCCACTAATAAAGGACAGGTCACATTTCTTAATTTTTAAAAGAAAGAGAAGCCCGGGCACAATGGCTCACACCTGTAATCCTAGCACTCTGGGAGGCCAAGGCGGGAGGATTGCTTCAGGTCAGGAGTCCAAGACCAGCCTGAGCAAGAGCGAGAGCCTGT